TTTAACCCAACAGTTGGGTTAGTCCATATTTGACCCAAAATTGGGTTGAAACAACCCAGCATTTTTTAGAGTGTACTCTGAACCCCATGTGGATTTACACAATTTGAGAAAGTCAAAAAGTGTTACTTTGTGCCCCGCTCTCATATATATATATATATATATTCTGTAATACATTCTGTAATTCTTAACATAATCATGACTGGGAAAACATATATAGTGTATTCACTTTAATTTTTTTAATGAATACACTATAACGAGAACAATCTTTACTACTAAGTATTTACCAGTAAAATCCAAATAAATCAACTTAATTATGTTTATTTATAAATCCCTTATCACATAAAAGCACCTGTTGCTGCACATGCAGAATTATATTTAAATCTAATCCTTTTAGATAGATAGATAGATATTTATGCTTTCAAATGCACTGGCAACTGAAGAGCAGGCGTTGATGGGATTAATTATAACTAGCTGTGAATTAATCAGTCTAAATTAAATTGAATAAAATCAACATAATGCAGAAACACGTGAAACAGTAGGACGAAACATTTGGATGGTGTTGCAGCTTTCCTTTATGAAGAATTAAAAGGCTTGCCTCCTGTAAGAGTGCTTCAATGGATTCCCGCAGTTCCAGAGGAACAGAGACGTCCTGGGATGCTTCTTGACAGATGCCCGTCATCTTCATCTCCAGCTCGCGCAGCCTGCTCTCCAGCCGATGCGTTTTGAAAGTCATGAGAAAACACACTGCTACTGAACTCAGCGACAACACTAAACACGCTATGGTTGGAAAAGACACTAAATAACGCTGATAAAGCGGTTTCGCAGCATTCGGTTTGCTTTCTGTATTTCCGTCCGCAGATTGATCCATGCTGGAAAAAGTCTCCAGTTAGTTTCCGATAGTTCGATGACTTTTAGTATTGATCAGTTCTTGATCGATGAGATGTGGCTGTCAGACTGAGCTAAAATATGTAAAATTATCATAAATTACAAACATGTGAAACGTCAGAATAAAAGAATGCAGCAGAATACTATATAATCTGTAGGCTACTATGTAATCCAGTACTATATAAATAATCATACTATGTTGTTTGCCAGTGTTTTTGAAACCTTTTTAACTAAGGAGTAATAGCAAATTCACATATTATTTTTCCTCTATAAACAAGTAGGACCATGAGCAACACTGACACTTATGGTGTCTCTTCAATAGTCAGATTACTGCTCAATCAATGTGGATTTATTAATGACTGATTCTTAAAATTTGATCTCCCCAAATTTGAATAATTACTTTTCTCTCTGTTGTATTTCACTTTTCAGAGGCTGAATGAAGCGATGCCGAAGTTGCGTGTGGTGAGAGACGTGACACAAGACTGCAACTGTCCTCCAGGTACATGAATCTGCTCTGACAGTCTTATAACGGACCGTTCAGTTCCGAAACATGGGAACTCCGGGATGAAACCTGATAGAAAATGTGATCAATTCATTAATGCCTTGTTCTTGAACAGTGATTGCAAAGCTGTTTTGCAACCAAATATTTTTGGGTAATGGCGTCAATTGATTTCCTGTTCTAGTTTCATGTCTTTCGTATTATTCTTTTTAAAAAATACCTTAAATAGTTAATGTCTGTTTAGAAGTCTTATAATCAGCCTATCATGCTTTTAGAGTTTATTTAGTGATAATGTTGGCTGACTGGAGTCGGGACGTCAAACCAGCCCTAAAACTTTGAATAAGTGTTTGTTACATGCAGTGTTCCTAAGGCAATTAGAACTCATCATGATTATAGATCACTTCATACTGCTCTGTGCATTTCCAATTGTGATTTTAAATACAGAGGGAAGGAGAAAATGTGGAGCTGTTGCATATTGATGAATTGGTGGTTGCAGAGAGTTTTTTGGACTCCTCTCTCACAAAATGTGGTTGTTAAATATGGGGTTGGTGGTAACTTGAGTTCGGGTGCATTGAGAAACTTTGTGGAACTGCTGTCTGTCATTTTCTTTTTCACAATCACTTTTTACATCTCAAGTCATGGTGCTTATAAAATCCAGTGTTTCCATAAATGTATGTGGTTTCACATCTGAGGGGAGATATCGGTGGCGCAGGACAAGAGGGAGGTCATAAGCATCTGTTTATAGGTTCTGAGTGTGAGTGTGTGTGTGTGTGTGTGTGAAGGGGCCCCAAGTATGCGTCTGTGTGAGTGTGTATTTCTGTTTGTTTGTGTGGGTAGTGCCGCAGAAGGACCAACAGAGGCACCGAACTGTAAAGTGAGACCCTTTCATTTTAGAAGCAATAGTTGCCACCTGAAACCTGAAGCGTGTTGAGCGGTCCTGGCAGGCAGGATCAGAGGGAGAAGTATTTCTGTCTCCACCACAGACTGGGCAGGTTATAGTGTGTCTCCCCCTACAGGAGCTGCTTGGAAGGACACTGATGAGAGGAATAGTTTAAAACCTTGAATGACTTTATTTATTCCATGGAGCACAAAGGTTGAATTTATTTTTTCTCATGCAGTTGCAATTAATAAAGCTTTTAAGCTACAAAAAGGATGCAAAAACACCATAAAAGTATGATAAAAGTGCTTATTTTCTGTCTTCTGAAGCCATACGATAGCTCTGTGTGAGAAACAATGAAATTTGAGAAAAACAATTGCTTAGCACCTTCAAAGGATAGGCTTTTCAACCCTTTTCAACCTTATTTTATTGTTAATAATTTAAATTTTTCAGTCTGCTATAATTTAGAGAATGCTGTAATTTTTAACCCATTCCTTATTATGATTATTATTATGATTGATTAGGGGGCTTTTTGCCACTATAATTGATTGCAAAAGCCTTTTGAGTTTAAAAAATTTGGAGAGAATAAATTTTTTTTAGAGAATTTATCTTAATTTAAGTTTTCGAAAGAAATATATATATATATATACAGTGTATATATATATATATATATATATATATATATACACACACAGTTTAATTTTGCAAACTTGCAAACTTACATGAAAACCAGAACAATCCATGAACTTACTTTGATTATCATTTCAAATGTGAAGACACCAGTGAATACATAATCAAAATAGCGCAGCACCTATTACACATAAAGACAATAATCCAAAAAGGATTACAATATCAGCATTAGCAAACACACAATTATATATATATATATATATATATACATATATATACATATATATATATTGAACACACTCCTGAAGGGTTGCATTTTATAATAAAGAGGAAGGTTGCCTTTTTAAAATACAAGTATTGATCATGCTAAACACAATTGTGATGTTTTTTTTCCACTTTCTGAAGTTTATCAAAACTGTAGAAATGAGCTAAGTGTTGAAGGAGGCCCCTGTCATGTCTCTCTCCTTAACCACATAGCTTCTTTTATTTCTTCTTCCTCTATTCATTTCTATGGTGGAATGAGTTCTCCCTAATTAACTGTCGACTGAGATGGTTGTCCTTGCATGCTAAACGATGCCCCGTCTGTTATCACCCATTTTCACCAGGCACTGTTTGACAACAAGCTGTAACTCTCAAATGAAAGCACGAGAGATCTTTAACTCAGTCACATCTTCCTGTCTCATTTTTCAGGCTTGCGTGTTCTCCTTCACTCTATTTAGTCCTTGGAAAGGTTGGACAAGGTCAAGGACACATTTCTTCCCTTTCCTACATTCATTGCCCTAAGGATTTATTGTCTTTCGTCACCCTTTGTTGAAAGTCACCATGCAACATGCACAAGTCTATTCAGGAAACATCTGAGCTGTAGGTGTGGTGTGTGTTTGTTTGGTAGTGATTGACTGAAGCCAAGGGTCTCTTCGTCTTGTTTAATGCCCATTTCATTTGTTGATTAATTGATTAGTTTTTTAACATACTTTGTGTAAATGGACTAGGATTATCTGTGTCCATTTTGTTGTGGATAGCGATCCTGTAGCTCAAACAGTACAGCATTGCATTAGGAATGCCAAGATCATGGGTTCAGGTCTCAGGGAATGCATGAATTGATAAAACATGTTCCTTAAATGCACGTAAATTGCTTTGGATAAAAGCATCTGCCAAATGCATAAATATAAATGCATTCCAGGTTTTGCCAAGTCTCAGCCTCAAAAGTCATGCTCATGGACCGCCTGCTGAAAATCTGATGGGTGTTGCACAGAAAAATCGCAAACAATTTCTTGATCTGGCCTCAAATCTGATTTGCTGGCTGGTATCTAAATGATGCTTCATAGCATCAAATCTGTTCCTGTAGTTCAAACAGCAGAGAATGCTACCGATATATCAGAATTGAGGGTTCGATTCTCATGGAACTCATTAATCAAAGGAATTGGAAATGTGCTGAAAATGTATTCACCCTCTGGCCATTCAAGATGTAAATGAGTTTATTCATTCATCATCTTTGGAGAAATTTAGCATTACATCACTTGCTCACCAATGGATCCTTTGCATTTAGCAATATTGTGGATACAATATTAAACAATATTATGGATAGAGGACTCCTATTTCAGCTATAAGCCAGTCGAGTTGTGTGGATTACTTGTGGATTATTGTGATGCTGTAATCAGCTGTTTGCACTCTCGTTCTGATGGCACCCATTCACTACAGAGGATGCATTGTTCTGATGAAGAAACAAACTCATCTACATCTTGGATGACCTGAGAGTGAGTACATGTTCAGCAAACTTTAATTTTTGAGTGAACTATTCCTTTAACATTACTAGTAAAAAATAAATAAAATACTCACAATGCGCTATAATTGATTTTGGATAAAAATATCTGTGAAATTTTGAATTTTTTGTTTAAGGCACAAGATATCCAATAGCAAAATAGGAAATTAATAGACATTCCCTTTGCAGCACACTGCATGTTAGTCTACCTTTTCAATCATAAAGTGCGACTAGACTTTATGCTTCATTGACATTCATTCATATATGCATGCAAACATGGGAGACTGTAAACGCAAGCTCTTTCGTAGACGTTTTGCATTCCTTTGCAAATTAAAGTTCAAGTTTGGTGAACTCTGACCTGCCTTCACATACTCAAAGTCTTAAGTGGACGGCCAATGCGGCCAGGATATTGTGCAGCATTTACTCATAGTCACACAGTTTTATCAGGTACATCAAATCACAGCTGAAAGTATTGGATATCAGTGGGCTCATCTCATTTGAAGTAACAGTAAGATACAGCATTTCCTATTTCGCCTGCTAGAGATTACAATATTAAACATCAGTGAATAATTGATCTCCGACTTGTTAATGACTGTACGTGGTATTAACATACAAAAGGTGTCAGAAAGGCTTAATCTGGATGGGTTTTTGGAAGCGCACAGAAATCAGAGAGGGTTTTGGGTGTGGCAGCGGGATCTGATGGACTCAGCACTGTATTTACTTTCATCCCTCCAAAAGGTCTGGCTTAAAATATCCGGCTAGGGCATGTGCATATGTGTAATATCTCACTAGGAAGTGGTGCAATTAGATACGCTGCATGCCCACGGCTGTGCAAAAGACATGGGACATAAACCATTCTATAAAGCAGTGCTGGTTTTGCTTCAGGACCTATTTTACATTGGACAACAAGTGGCGACACTTTTTGCTGAATTATTTTTTATGAAGTAAACATAAGAGTAACTTTTATATTCTTAGAAATATTTCAAGATGAAAAATATTTCTCTTTCTGGACCAAAGCACCTTTTTTTTTTTTATGATGATTTTTTTTTAGGTTTACATGATTATCTGTGCATTTGTTTTCTTTTAGAAAAAAAAGTATCAAATATGACGCATCCGGATTTTGAGGAACGACTAATACAACTGATATTTATAGGCTTTTTTCGTCTGTCGTCTATTATACTGTTATATAGATCTCATTGATTATATTACAAGCTATCAGAATTTCATCTTTCTTTTTGGCCATATAAATATCAGCAACTGCATCAAATTACATATTTTTGCATGTTTTTTTCCTTGAATATGAGGTCCAGATGTATCACATACTGTACCTATGATATTCAACAAAATCACAAATGCAAACTTTTGTTGAAAATTTAAAAAAAAAAGTCTAAAGGTTGAATAACATTTCATTAAAAAAAAGAAAGAAAAAAAAGGTTGTGATTAAAAATAGATTCTGACAATTATTTCAAATGTCAGGATATACAGGATTAATAAACCTTTTATTTATTTATTAATATTTAATACGAATATAATTATTGGCATACAGCATGTTTTCCCCTTCTGTCTTGCATTTTTGGGCCACTACCCACTAATTGAAAATCATTTAATGTTAAGCCATCTTTTATATTACTGATGATATTGATCACTTGTGTTCTGACAGCAGTCAAAATGACTAAGCAGGTTAAGAGGAGCAAAGGATGTTGACCCCAGCCTCTGTATGGGTGGCATGACGGG